TCACTTCACGTGGCACTAAATCGACCTGGAAATGCTGTAGCTCTTCCTACCACACAAAAAAGAACTAATCTATGATCACGCTCAGGTGATAAAGCAATTTCATCTCACCCCGTCAATGCCACCAACAGCGGCATCAACCAGCCTTTGTACGTCTGTTCTGTACACCTCCTCAATAGAGGCATTCACGTGGCAAGTTGAGAAGCGATAGTCACCGACATCAGCGATTCTGATAGTATTATTATCGCAGATGATCTCGGATGAATCTGACAAGGGTAGGCGTTTGTTTACTCACACAGGTTGTAGTTGGAAAAAATAAAGTGGAGTTTCACCACTCGTTTTACGTTAAGTGGCGTAATACACCATGTGATAAGAAGTGAATTGAAAACACTTCGCGAATTACACCAGACAGATCACCCCATTTCACGCGTTTTACGCGTTATTCACTGCTCACATGCATTTTTCGTGAAATATAATTTTCACTAATGTTTTTCATTTCACAGATTTCTTGTGAGTAGTGGTATATACCATTCGATGAGAAAATATATTTTTTCATTCCGAAAAATTTCGAAGTTTCCTCGCTTTTTATACAAATTAGTGTACATAAAGCTGAAGCCTAGGAATATGCACAAATATAACTGTTTCATATTCCCAGAATATTTTGCAATTTCATTTATGTATGAATCTTCTGTCAGAACTCAATGATTAATTCCTCAATTTTCCTCAAAATTTCTAAATTCTCCTTAATTTTTCTCTTTTTTCCAAATTTCCTGAAAATCTCTACGAATGTCACCACACTTTTTCCCCCACACTGCTCGATAGGTGATAATTTCAGTAGCATATCTACACTACGTTCGCATTTGATAGGCAAGTCATGAAAAATGACAAAACTCGGGACTCGATGAGTGAATGACAATGAAAATTGTATTTCGAGAGCTCCAAGCCCGGGGAAATCGATTGGTATGCCTGTTATGATAGATCTCTCGACCGTTTCGTATCTGTATGACCGTTTTGTATGTTCTCACTTTCTCCAATATTCCCTCGAAAGTACACAGATGTTGATGTCGGTACCAACGCTCGCTGGAGAAGAGCACTGTTCATATATTGGCAATGATAACTAAGAGTATAAATTCGGCACTGTATGTATGTAGCAAGAGGATAATGGAGTTTCACGATTCGTTTTACGTGAAGTGGCGTCGTAAAACTCGGTGAAAAACGCGATATTCGCGGCCCGTAGTAGTCGTAAAATATGTTTCTCACTAGTGTTTTTCATATCACTAGGGTGGTGAAACTCCAATGTTATCCCGCATTGACATGACTGCCCACAACACCAACAACAACGATATGATACTAACATAAATGCCTCTAAAAAGCTCAACAAAAGTTCAATACTGTCATAAGTGTATATGTAATTCATCATCATAAAATACCTTTCACACTACCAATAACTGCGACGTTTGATCTTCCATCACCGCCGTCACTACTAACCCTTCACCCAATGCCGCGATGCCCGTATATCGCTGCACCCCTTCACTATGCTCTATTTCGGTAACAAGCAGCGACCCTCTCGCCGTATTCCAACGGTGAAGTGTCCCGTTGGTCAACATTACCCCGACAGTAGATTCTTCCAGTTGAGCGATTCCCGCTATCACTTGGAGTCCCTTTTCATAAGCGCCGACTCGAACTTGTTTCCTCCATTTTCCGTTGACACCCCTTACCAGCATATACACGATATTCTCAGGAGTAGTCGCTACCACACGTGAGCCGATCGATTCAATTTTGACTATCTCAATAGGGAATTTTGTCCACTGCTCAGAAGTGCAATTGAGCACATATTCATCACCGAAAGCGATCATCAGTGAATCTCCCACCCAGGCTAGATCTGTAGCATCCTGACCTCGACTCAGCTCAGTCAGGCACTCACTACCCGGTAGATCTGGCCATATACTGATGCCGTCAGTCGCCAGTAGTGTGTCGCTCCTCCCATGCTTAGTAGTCATCCCTACTGGACTGAAGAAAGGCGCCATTGTAGCGCTGATATCACAAGATGTGGAGAGGCGCCGTGGGCTGACCGAAGGCGTAGATGGGAGGCCTAGACCGGTCCCTGTGGGTACATCGAGTACATCCAATAAGCCCCAAATGAGACTGACATGCATTGTTGTTGATTCAGAGGTTTTGAGATAGCACTCACCCCACAGTCCACGTGAAGACAACGATACTGGACGCTTGCTTGTAGATGGTCCATGGTCTCGATGAGTACTTCATGAACTGCTTGTTCCACTTCATTTTGCTGCTTTCATTCTTATCGTTTTGCTTCACGTCATCGTCCGAAAACTCTCCACTGGTTGAAGAGAATCTACGAGCGAGTTTCGGCATTGAAAATGGCACGATATTACACAACGCGCTTGGGCAACTCAGAGATATTATGGGCAGGTCGCAACGATTTGTCGTCCTCCTCTGAAGCTGGCAGTAACTTGGCCGATATTCTTTCCGACTTCCCATGTTCATACCTATCTCAGCACAACTCGGAAAGCATGGACAGACGGATCAGCTGATTCGATCTTCCCTGTATTACGGGCCCGACGTCCTTCTACTGTGGAGCCTCTCCACAGAATCGACTGTACTGGTGACATTCTGGAACTTTCGCACGGCTTCATGAAAGTCGTGTAGCTCAGTGGCGATCTCAGAACGTGTTGGAGGACGGGACTCACCCAGAGAATCGTTGCTTGAAAAATCTCGGCTCTGTCATTTAAATACATAGACAGCTTTGAATTCACAATATACTCTCACCAATGCGCTCATGCTCTTCAGCAATGGTGGCTGCCACCGAATTTCGCCCGTCTCGCTATTCAAGTAGTAATCTACGCTGAGACCTAACATCAATGCCGGGAATCTCAACGTTCGCTTCTCCTGAACCAATATCACACCAATTTCCCCGGATGAATAGATATAGATGGTATCGCTTGTGTCTCCTCTTGAGGATATCAGCGGAACACTCAACTACCAGTGATTCTCACTCTCAAATAACACACCTACTTCCCTAGGCTACCCATCTAGGCAAGATGAATAGACCTAGAGGGTATCACTATAGTGTCACCTTTCGAGCATATCAGCGAGGCTCTCAACTGAGGTTCCTCCCTCCTACCAGTGGTATCGTCCAGGTAGTTCAACTTGATCCACTTCTTCTTTTTGAAGATCTTAGCCGATCGAGCGTCTCCAGCTCGGCCGAGTTCGACGAGGGAAAGATGCAGGTCATTCCTGATATGAAAACGTCAAGTCTAGGAAAAGTGGGGCAGCTATGCCAAGCCGAGCTGGCATATCTGCCCCGAGTCAGAATCGGCTTCACTAATGCCAAGTTCAACGAGGGATATATGTATCCCATTCTTGTAATAAAAACGATACGTCAAGGAAGAGTGGGGCAGCTATTTCAACTCGAGCTGGCATATCTGGCTCGGGCCGGAATAGGTTCACTAATGCCAAGTTCAATGAGGGGAAGATGCAAGTCACTCCTGTCATGAATACGTTACGTCAAGGAAGAGTGGGGCAGCTATGCCGAATCGAGCTGGCATATCTGCCCCAGCCAGAATGGCTGCCCCACCTAGAAGATCATCAAATCAACGCATATCTTAAGGTGGCATAGCTGCCCCATGCAGAGAGAAATCATCATATCAACCCATATCCCACGATGGCATAGCTGCCCCACCCACAAATTATGACCCAAACTTCCCTTTTCCTCCCAAAACCATCCCCATTACTGACCTTATCTTCTCAAATTCTTCCCTCAGGCCAATAATTTCTCCCTGCTGCAACCTAGAAAACTCCCCTTGATGTCTCCTATACCGACGAAAAAGCTTCTGAAGCTTCCTCTGGGCCGTCGTGCACTTCTCCTCCAACTCCCTCGTCTGTGACTTTTTGCCCTCCTCCTCCACCGAGGAACGATCTGTATCACCCCAGAGGAACTCACTGGCGTTCTTAGTCTGGAAGAGTGGACGAATAGAGCACTGGAGTTCTTTCGTAATGCCTCACATCGATACCGAGATCGGCGAGTTCATGCTGGATGAAGTCATGCACTTGATTCTCCCCTATGATCTCTGAAATAGATGAACATCCTGAGATTTCGCAGCTAGCGGTCCATTTTAACGAGTGGCTCAACGAAAATAGTTTCTCTCTAGAGTGATAATTGCCGAAGACCGCCACAGATACGCAGCGCGCACGTTCAGACTTAGGAAACGACTTCTATTCGACTAAGATCCCCATTTCGCATGCGCACTGTAGGATATCCTATTGACCCACATGAGCCCGAATTATACGAGTATTACCAGATGATATCCCAACTGTGCTAAACTTGGCCGGCAAACCTCCCTTAGACTCGATAGCTTGCACCAATACAAAATACACCCATAACGCATTCAATATGAACGATACGAGCGCAACGGCTTTGCCTGATGACAGAGAAACCTCCCCTGATGATTCAAAGCGGTCAAACGAACCTATCATAGTCTGACCCGCATAATCGAAAGTGGCAGCCACACCCGCTGACATGGGCGAGAAGTAAATGAGCAATGTCATGATTAAAGACTCCATCCGACTGAGTATAAGGTTAATTCTGAAGTGCAGCAGAGCAGTGGTTGCCATAACAACGACGAACGCCCATGCCGCCCAGGGCTGACGATCGCCTATCATCGTGGACCTAATTAGATGGCGCTCTCGGCGCTTTGACGATGTCTGACTACCCCAGAGCGAATATCGCCAAAGTCATCAATAACTGATTAGTTCCCATTGCCATACACACCCTAGCATAGGCATCATAGCCTTGCCACGAGGTTTGGAGATGTTGGAACAACTTGAAGTGAATTTGATACCTAAACCAACGCATAGAATCCTTTGCAACAGATGGGATAGTCGCGATGCACTCCTCATACATGGACCCAATTTCCGAACAGAGAGAATCAAAATCGAAACTCGCCGACCCCCGATGCACTTCAAGCCCTAGTTCGACTCTGTTACATTCTATCAGCTTCTGCCCTCGGGTCATTTCCCTCTAGTATCTCCCTATGTTTGCGTGCAATAGTAGCATCCACCTCAGCTTTTTTGGGCGCGAGTCGATGCAGGCCCGGTATCCTCAGAATCGAACTGCCCACTCCCGAAGCTTCGTAGTCCTTCCAACAAACACCCCTTTCCACATGAAGCGCATACCTCTGCTCACCTTCAAGGACGCAGAAGCAGCGTCAATCTCTTCTGTTCGAGGCACCGGTAACCTGTGGAGAGCTCATTGAACTGTACACGGCTTCAGCACTACCTCAGCCACTGAGTGAGAAGGCGAACTACAAAGGCTTGTGCAGTGATGGAAGCATGTAACGACAGCCACACCGACACCAATAGAAACATGGTCGACCCCGATAGATTGAGGCACCTGCGGTTTAGTAATAGAGAGCACGGGCATGCGAAGCGATCATGATTACCACATCCACCACAGCCAAGGAGGGTTCTGGGGTGGCAAGGCTCCATCATAAAACAGCGCTATACAAAATCCCAGCATGAGAGTATTCACTACTAGGTAGTTGTCCATCTTTGTTATGGTGAGACCGAACAGATCCCGTAGGTCTTCCCGGTATAGTCCAACCTGCTTGCGGAGCATGGCGTGTCGGAGAGGATGATTTCTTACCTGTTGAAGGCGCATGTTTTGAATTTGATGGATCTTGTTCTGCCGTAATGTCTGGTCGAATACGAAGGCGTCTTTATTATAAGAGAATATGGACCCGGCCCCACCAGCTAGGGCAGCTCCCGCAGCGGCTATCTCTGCCATGATCAAGTGTCAAAATACTGTCAGGCAGGGAAATTGTCACTCGCCTAATACTCGGAGGTGTGAATCTCGGGTATTCCAAGGGAAACGGCAGGCAGGCTAAATACGAACTTGGGATAAACAAGTATCAAATACCTTTCCTCAGTTAGTATCTGTCCGATAGTCTAACAACTAATCTGAAAGAGCCTCTGAATAGTATTCTATGTACGAGAAGATATAGTTTATGATATTAGGGGAAAACTAGAGCAGTCAATGCCCTCCATTTGTCGCGTAGTAACTCTAAAATAAGGCGCAGAGATATTTGGAGACGAGACGGAGGTGAATCATGTAGCACATATAGGTTGTTCTCGGCTTTATTCACTCGAGATCAATCATTCTATACTCCATCACTCATACACAGTTACACTAGATGCCACAGTGGAGTTACGCCAATGAGGTCGTCAGCCCTATGGGTATGCGTGCACTCGTGCGTGCAACCGCAAGCTCGGTCGCGGTTGCCAACCCCAAGCTCATCAACTCGACTTGGGCTGCGGCGGTCGAGCTGCCATACTCACACTACTGTGAATTTCACGCTCGAGATGCATAGGATTATGCATTATCTACACCTCTCAAACATCTAGTTCGTTTTTGGAACCTTCAATTTCGTCGGGACGCGCGAAGTTGGAGGTACGAATCCGAGACGGGAAGATCATATTCACAAGTAGAACTTTCAACTTCGTCGTAGAACTTTTAAGTTCGTCCGAAGTCGATAGGAAGCTCAAGTTCGTGTTAATAGAACTTTAAATTTCGGCTTTCGAACCTTCGAATTCGTCATAGAACATTCAAGTTCGTCCGAAGTCGATAGGAAGTTCAAGTTCGTGTTAACAGAACTTTCAATTTCGACTCTCGAACCTTCGAATTCGTCCTAGAACATTCAAGTTCGTCCGAAATCGATAGGAAGTTCAAGTTCGTGTTAATAGAACTTCAAATTTCGACTCTCGAACCTTCGAATTCGTCATAGAACATTCAAGTTCGTCCGAAGTCAACAGGAAGCTCAAATTCGTGTTAATAGAACTTTCAATTTCGACTTTCTAACCTTCGAATTCGTCAGAAGAACATTCAATTTCGTCAAGTACACCTTCAGACCTTCAATTTCGTCCCTTTAGGAAAAAAACCGACTCCGTCGTTCGGAACTTCAATTTCGTGTTACCGGGGCAATTATGCCAGTACTCTCCACTTCGTCGTTCGGAACTTCAATTTCACGTTACCGGGGCAATTATGCCAGTACTCTCCACTTCGTCGTTCGGAACTTCAATTTCGTGTTACCGGGGCAATTATGCCAGTACTCTCCACTTCGTCGTTCGGAACTTCAATTTCGTGTTACCGGGGCAATTATGCCAGTACTCTCCACTTCGTCGTTCGGAACTTCAATTTCATGTTACCGGGGCAATTATGCCAGTACTCTCCACTTCGTCGTTCGGAACTTTAATTTCATGTTACCGGGGCAGTTATGCCAGTACTCTCCACTTCGTCGTTCGGAACTTCAATTTCGTGTTACCGGGGCAGTTATGCCAGTACTCTCCACTTCGTCGTTGGGAACTCCAATTTCATGTTACCGGGGCAGTTATGCCAGTGCTCTCCCTCCGACAAGGATACCGGGTATCCTTGTCGGAGGGAGTTCACTACAGGGAGCTAGCTCAACTAACTCCGCAGGCGAGCACGTCACGGACCAGTGTTTGCACCACTCTATACTACGCGAGCTTCGGGCCTCCCTCCTAGGCCAATAAACGTCACGAAAGCTCTCAATGGAAAAGTTCTCATCCTAAGTTGCATAGACACCCCCTCACATATTCTTAGGATATCCGGTTTTTCGACTCGTGCACAGTCACCTCAACGAGTACCACCTTACGGCTTAGGCAGGTATGTTCTCATGCTACGCATGATATGGCGAAAGATCTTTTTTCTGTTGACGTATAGTACT